ACATGACTATTGTATAAAAATTTATGACAAGCATCTTTTTTCCCTATGAAAACCTATTTCAGTTCTTTTGAAAGACTATATAGATGAATTGGAAAAGTAGTTTTTGGTGAAATTGTTAATTATGTTTGATCCAAATTTAAAACATTGGGGAAAGGACTTATAAAAATCTGGAAGAACTCTTCAATGAAATTGTCTCTCCAGTGTCTAAACTCTTGTTCCACCTTCAAGAGTAAATATATATATAATATTTATAGTAGACATATATTAATTTATGGATTTTAACTAGTGACCTTACCTAAAACATAACCTAAATAAATATTATGCAAAATATTCCATTTAAAAGCTTGCAAATTATTTGGGAAAGGGCAAGGTAGAACCCCATTCAGTATTGAAGAGTGAAGTAAAAGCGACTGAAATAAAAAATAATGCTATTTTACATGTAGGTGGTTTATGCAACAAACAAGGAAGGAATTTCCCAGTTAGGCCTCTATTCAAGAAGATCTTATCCATATATTAAGTCACAGGCATCCTCCAACTACGGCCCGCAGGCCACATGCGGCCTGCCTAGGACATTTATCCAGCCCGCCGAATGTTTTTGCTGCACCTGCCTGTCCTGCTTAGCAGCCGACTCATCCCAGGGCCTGCAATCCGGCCCTCCAATGGTCTGAGGGACAGTGAACTGGCCCCCTGTTTAAAAAGTTTGAGGTCCCCTGTCTTAAGAAATTTAGGAGTGAATACACATACAGTGGAAGTTAAAATAAAGTGCTTCAGTTATATATTTTTCATTTGTTATGATTTCTGCTTTATCTGACGTTTTGGAGTATTTGAGCCAATAACCAGACTGCATCTTATAAAAGGGCCTCTCTTATACTTCTAAATAAGGAAGGGTGTGTTAGCCTGCCCTTTCTCAAAGAATTTACAAACTTTTTAAGTGAATAATTTGCATAGTATTTATTTAGGTTATGTTTTAGGTAATGGCAGCAATTGAAATCCATAAATTAATATGTTTATTTACTAAGCATAGAAAAGTCCTTTTTAAATTGAAATACTCAGCCAGAAGTTAAACAGAGAACAGGTAATTGTTTGGTAACTTTTGCTCATTTACTAGTAACTTCCTTAAATTATACAGATTATTATAAAAATGACCAGATATTTGTGTTTTCTTCTGTTTATTTTATATTCTATAAACCAAAGATGGGAATCATTATACATTAATAGTGAGTCTGCTATAAGCTGACCTTTCAAGGCAAATAAGAGCCATTCGGGCTCCTCAAAGAGATTATAGTTTAAGAAGCCATTTTAATAAACAATTATAGCAGAGTCAAAAGTTGTCTTTGTGCTTTTTTTATGCATATAAATTTGTAAACTTAAAAATAAAATTTTCATACGATGGTATAATGATAATTTTTAAATATGTTATCTTGGTAACCTTTGCATTTACGTTTATATAGATTTCAAGAGCAGGGAAAAGGAATAGGGGGTCATTAATATTTGTCACATCTTTAAAAGTATTTTGGTGTCAATTATGAGAAGATGAGTGATGTTAAATACTTTCATGAAATTTTTATATTGCAACTTTGTACCTATTCTGTTCTCCCTAACTTTACTTTGGAATGCCTTCATACCCAGTCTTCCATAATATCAGAGTTTCTGCTTTACATGAATTTCTTAAAGACAGACTCTCTGTTCTCAGAATGTGATTTGTTCACTGGCTTACCGCAGCAGAAGTCCAAATATTTTTTCCTATGCACACATACCATAGCCCTTAGGTCCTGGTATGTGGGATCCTCAGCCTGTCACAAATTTCATTACGCCATCTGCTTCAACCTGAGTGGTGTATCTTCTGCTGGCAGACTTTACTGAAGTTGCTATGGCTCAGGATAAAAAAAATCAATTTTGGCATAGAAGCTTGTTTTTGAAAAAATAATAATTGATCATGCCTGCTGTAGATTTTAAAATAAGCATTTGAAAGGATTCCCAAAAGTCTTCTTTCAACACAGTAATCTCTTTTTTAGTCCATGATTGTAGATAGCCAATATGATGATTGGGTTACTGGTGACTTAATGACTTTTCTGTTTTATTTTTAAGGATGCATAATAAACGCTTATATATGGATTGGTTACATACGAGGAAATACTTTGATAGCTCTGTAAATGAAGGCTCTTTACCTTGTCTTACTTCCAGAAATGATATTTCAAATGACTGTATGCTTTGTGTACAAAGATGACAGGAACACCACAATGAATAAAATCTAGGTCACAGGCAACCTCGGTATGTGATGCTGTATAATTTCATCATTTATAAAATTGAGATAGTGGTATAGTACTTGGAGAGTTGTTTGGGAGATTGGATCAGAATAGTTTTTTTTAATAGATTAATACATAAACATTTATTCTTCAAATGAGTATTGAAGGTCAACTTTGTGCAAGGTACTGTTCTAGAGAATGAAGACAGAAGAAAATAAATTAGTCAGTTTCTTCACTAGGGAATTTTACATTTGAATGTGTTTCCACTGAAGATCCATGACAGCAAGGGATATGTCAGATGGTGACAAGTGTCATGAAGAGAAACAGGTCAGGCAAGTTCATGGAGCCTATGGGTGGGATGCTGTTCTAGATAGAGTTGCCAAGGGGGGTTTCTCTGCAATGAGGTTGAGCACACCTGAGTGAAATAAAGAAGTGGGTGTGTGGATACTGGGTGAAGGATGTACCTGGCTGGTAGTGAGTAGTTTGGCAGTTTGAGGAACAATAAGGAGGTCAGTATAGATGGAACAAAGTGGATGAGGGACAGAGTACAAGGAAATTAGGTGAGAGAGTGATCCAAAAGCATCATTGATGCAGTCTTTCTGATAAATAATTATAGATAAAAAGTCACATTTCAGACATCTTACAGAAATATGAAATTAGGATTGACTACACTGTTTTATCTATTATTTAGATTTAACTTGGAGCTCTTTATAACACGCATGCACAGGTAATTGTGGAATCTTTGCAAAAATGGAATGATTGTTTTCATTCTTGTTGCTTATGTCATTGTACCTAGGGTTAGCCAGGCTACAGAGTTGGAGGACACAGTCCTCCAGACTGACAGCTCTGCCTAACACTTTTGACATCAACTGCAAGGAGTTAAGGTCCAGTTACAAACTTAAAGGAGAAACTTTACACAAGACCACCATTGCTTCTGAGGGTAACTGCAAGTTTGGGCAGTTCCGCAAACCACTCTGGTTCTCTAATTCACTAGAAGGTCTTAGAGAATTCACTGAAATCCATTATCATCATGGTTATGGTCCATTACAGGGAGAGGTTATAGACAAGGATAGCCAAGGAAAATGATGCATAGCACAGGATATGGGGGTGGGGAGCTCAACCTGAGGCTTTCATTTTTGTGGGGAAGTGTTATCCTTCCAGAATCCACATGTGACAGTATAAATGGAGTATAGTCATACATTACTTGATGACTAGGACCCATTCTGGGAAATGAATTGTTAGACAATTTTGCCCTTATGGGAACATAGAGTATACCTAAACAAACCTAGATGGTGTAGCCACCTACGCACCCAGGCTGTATGGTATGGCCTATTGATCCTAGGCTACAAGGACATACATCACATTAGTGTACTAAATACTGTGGGCAATTGAAATACAATGAATTATATTTGTGATTTAATCATATCTAACTTTTGGAAAGGAATAAAATGGTATATAAGGTAAAAAATGGTCTACTTTTATAAAACACACCGTAAGGGGAGCTGGTAGAACTCTAGGTGAATCAGTGAGGAGTGGTACGTGAGTGTGAAGGCAAAGGCATTACTGTACGTTACTGTAGACTTTACAGACCCTACACTTAGGCTGCACTAAATATATAAAATCCTTTCTCCAATAATAAATTTACCTTAGTAGCTAACTGTTAACTTTTACTTTTTAAAGGTTTTAGTTTGTTTTAAACTTTTGACTCTTGAAATAGCATTTACCTTAAAACACAAACACATTATATAGCAATACAAAAATGTTTTCTTTATATCCATATTCTACAGGTGCTTTCCTATTTTAAAATTACTTTTTTCTTTCACTTCTTAAACTTTTTTGCTAAAAACTAAGACACGAAGGCATACATTAGCCTGACCAGTCCAGGTGGGGATCATCATTGTCCCCATCCTCCACCTCTACCTTTTGTCGCACTGGAAGATCTTTGTGGGCAGTAACAAACGTGGAGCTTGTCATCCTCTCTGATCACAGTGCTTTCTTCCGGAAACCTCCTGAAGGACGGGCCTGAGGCTGTTTTGTAGTTAGTTTTTTTTTTTTTTTAAATAAATAGAAGGATACACTCTAAAACAATGGGGAAACGTTAGCACTGTAGGTTATTTAGTCAGTATCACCACCACAAACACGGTGCACTATGCACTAAGTAATGTATAGCACCACGATATTATGGCTATGATGGCCCTACGTGATAGAAATGTTTCACCTTCCTAATAATCTTATGGGATTGCCATCATATGTGGTTCATTCTTGACTGAAATGTATATGTGGTGGCAGGACAATATTACACATCCAGGAAGATCACCTGAGTTTGGTGGTCAGAGTTTTTATTGGGGTGTTGTTTCATAGACATGTTCATGATTGATTGCCCATATGATTAAAGTTAGATTCACAGTTTGTGATCTGCCATGAATAATAACGATATCCTATCACTTGGGAAACTCTGAGAGTGTAGAGGTTACTTCCTAGGAGCTGGGGACAAATGTGTGCTTATGGATGTGAATATTTATGTATTTTCATGAGTACCCTGAATATGAGTAGGGGAGGTAGTTTTCTATTTTTCTAATAATAGCACTGCCATTTAGTATTTATGCATTTTTATGTATTTTTCTATTTTTTCTCCTTGAAGTAATGGACATTTCGAGATTTCATGTGTACTTCATTATTACCCTTCTTGCGATATTTGCTATTAAATAGTTTATGGGATGTCAAAATTATTAATAGTCTTTGTATTACTCTTAGGTAAACAGTGCAACTTCGGGAACTTCCAATATTGAATATGCCCACCTTTCTCATCTCAGCCCAGCTGTAATTCCTGCGCTGCAAAGTGAATCATTTTTATTATCATCCAATAATGGGAATCTGGAAGCACTTACAGGGTCTGGCACTCCACATGTCAATGGGAAACCTGCTTGTGATGAATTTGATCAGCTGATCAAAAATATGGCCCAGGTAAGAATGTTTCTTCCTGTCACTTATGATAAAGTCTATAATATCTTATCAAGGTCTGCATAAAGAATATAGTGACATCAGTGTATAACATCTGAAAAAAATTGCAATGAAAAAGAAGTCAAATTTGGGTGAGTTTAAATGGCTCAGCGATTTTTTCAGTTATACTTTTTTAAATATCACAATTTAAATTGAGTATTGTGTATTGCCATCAATTCTAGAAATATTCTTTAAGACACATAAAATTTCCTACTCTATGCCATGAGTGCTAAAACTTATCTTTGGAAAAATTTTTCAACTTTTTTTTTTTTACAAAATGTATACTCTGGTTTCTCTTCAGGTCATATAAGTCTTTTGCCTTTTTTCTTTTCTTTTCTTTTTTTTTTTTTTTTTTGAGGCAGAGTCTCAAGCTGTCGCCCTGGGTAGAGTGCTGTGGTGTCAGCTCACAGCAACCTCCAACTCTTGGGCTTAAGCGATTCTCTTGCCTCAGCCTCCCCAGTAGCTGGGACTACAGGCTCCTGCCAAAACGCCGGGCTATTTTTTTGTTGCAGTTGTCACTGTTGCTTAGCTGGCCTGGGCCGGGTTTGAACCTGCCAGTTTTGGTTTATGTGGCTGAGTTACAGGTGCAGAGCCAAATCTTTTGCCTTTTAAAAAGCAGTGTAATACTACTAGTCATATGACTGTTACTGCATTAAGTTTTAATTTTCTTTCTTGTTTTATTTCCTGAACAGGGTCGCCACGTAGAGGTTTTTGAGCTCCTCAAACCTCCATGTGGAGGCCTTGGGTTTAGTGTTGTGGGATTAAGGAGTGAAAACAGAGGAGAGCTCGGAATATTTGTGCAAGAGATACAAGAGGGCAGTGTGGCTCACAGGTGAGATCGGTACCCTCACGTCTTTTTGATACACAGTCTGAAGGTTTGAACATTATGGGGGAATAAATAAAAACAAAAGAAGCAAACAAACAAACTGAACATAATCTGTTACTGAACAGTTTTTAGAAGTCATTAATGTTGTTTTGATAAAAACCAAAATTCTCTGAAATGAAAATAGCTTTAAATATAGTCCTAACTTAATGGCACTTTAATAAGGAAAGAAACATTTGAGTAGAACATTATTTTCATTGTTATTAAATGGGTTCTTTTTGATTAGAGCTATATGTGTATAAGCCAGCAGTTCTCAACCTCTGAGTCTTGACCCCTTTGAGGGGTTGAACGACCCCTTCACAGGGGTTGCCTAAATATCTCCTGCATATCAGATATTTACATTACAATTTATAACAGTAGCAAAATTACAGTTATGAAGTAGCCATGAAAATAATTTTATGGTTGGGGTCACCACAACATGAGGAACTGTATTAAAGGGTCGTGGCATTAGGAAGGTTGAGAACCACTGGTATAACCTATGAACATCTTCCTATAGACTTTATCGTCTGTAAGTGCTATGTGACTTGTTGTTAAAGAGGATTGTTTTTTATTTGTTATTTGTTATTATTAAGCATTATTTTTCTCTTTTTTTGCTGAATATATTCATTCCCCTATTACTTGAATCCATGGATGTGGAATCCACAGAATCAGAGGGCCAACTTTATAGGCAATATGCCTTTTCATTTTTAGAAGATAGAACCATCCAAGATATAATGCATTGGTTGATTGGGTAGCTGATAAAAAGAGTGCTTTTAAATGCAAGGGGTTGTCTAGGGGTTGATTAGGGGCTATTAGGGGTAGCAGTAGGATTACCTTAAGAAAGTTGATCACCTGGAACCAAAGCATAAATTTTAGAATGTGGAACATAGGAATAAGCATATAACATTTGGTAATTAAAAATAAGACTTAAAATAATCTGAGCATACATGCCAGAGAATCTGTCATTTCCTTGAGAGTATCACATGGCTTTTCCCCCGTTTTCATCCTTGATAGAGATGGAAGATTGAAGGAAACTGATCAGATCCTTGCTATCAATGGACAGGCACTTGATCAGACGATTACACATCAGCAGGCTATCAGCATCCTGCAGAAGGCCAAAGACACTGTCCAGATAGTTATTGCCAGAGGCTCGTTGCCTCAGTTCGTCAGCCCCATAGTTTCCCGTTCTCCATCGGCGGCCAGCACGATCTCAGCTCACTCTAATCCCGTGAGTACCTAAAATGTTCAGAAGGAACAGAACCTGTTTTTCTAGTTCTTTTTGGATATCTCCAAGTTTCCAATTCCATAGGTTCTTTGTACTTCTTGAGTTTTTGTCTGTGTACTCTTTAATCTCTTCCGAACCAGGAGTTTTGATTGAATTATAATGAAATTTCTAGCTTTTATAATGACCTTTAATTTTCTTTGTATAGTTTTTCATTTGATAGCATTCCTTCAAAAAAAAGTTAGTCTTTTAACAAAATTGACTTTGTAGACAGGAATTATCTTGATTTTGCCTTATAAATTATGCAATTATATCATTACAGTTAGCTGTCAGTGACTTTAATAAGTCATCTAATGTAGAATCCTACCTGAAGGTAGGATTATGCTGAAGAGATTCTTACCCTATGACCGTTTTTCCCCTGTAACCTTGATCTTTTGTTGTTCTGTTAGAAGTCCTACCAAAGATCTTACAATGAGTGCCTATCTTTGACTGGTGAAATGCAGTCATTATGATGACGTATTGACGCAGTATGTAATCATCTTTAGAATGATTTTATCAATAGCAGTGACATTCTGCTGAAAAGGAAATATATGAAATGAAAGGGACATTGTTAGGGCTCATTTTTGAGTTTGATTATTTAATTTTGATAACAAAATATAATCACAAAAATCTCTACTGTAATATAAAATTGTAGTGTTCTGTACATTTTTACAAAGTTATATACAAGCTTTGTGTTTAGGTTCACTGGCAGCATGTGGAAACCATTGAATTAGTCAATGATGGATCTGGTCTGGGATTTGGCATCATAGGAGGAAAAGCAACTGGTGTGATAGTGAAAACCATTCTGCCGGGAGGAGTCGCTGATCAGGTATGCGGCTCCAGTTGGTCTTTAATGCTGTTTCAAGTATGGCTGTACCTTTTACTTTTTTGTTGGAGAGAAGAAACTTTGGCCTTAAATAATGTCAAAGAAACCTAATTAAAATCTTTTGTTGTACTGGCTGTCCTTGAAGTATTCTCTTAAACCTGGAGAGAGATTACCTTTGAAAAGGGATGTTGAAGTTGGGTGTGATGGGTTGTGTCTGTAGTGGACATGGGAGGTTGAAGTGGGAGGATTGCTTGAGCCCAGGTGTTGGAGACTAGTCTGGGTAATATAGTGAGATTCTGCTTCTAAAAAAAAAAATACAAAAGATAGTATGAAGAAGAAGGACAATTATTTTAAGTTACAGTTATAGACTGTGAGCTTAACTTAGCACTCATTGGAACTACAGACTGAAACCAAGGTTATGATTTTGATCATTGTATGGGTAGTAGCCCTTTGTTCTATGATCATAAATAATATTGCAAACCTAGACTGTTTTATAGTCACAGAATATTATGAGAAAAATATATTACTGAGAGAAAAAAGAAGATTCAACTTGTTCCTTTAGTAATAGGTCGTTGGTATTATCTTTGTATATGAAGTATGGCCTCTCTTTATCACTCAGAGTAGTTCAGTGAAGCATTGCTATTTATGATATGTAACATTGTTGTGCTATATGTGAGAAAATATTTAGTACATCGATTATGATTTATATTTTAATTTTATAGGTTTTGCCACTTTATAGAACTGTTGCCTGGAATGTAAAATTTTGTTTATAAAGCTGTTATTTTGCTTGTGCCTTTGAACTTAAAACTAGGGTAGAAGTCAAGTTGGTCAAACACTTTCCATATTCATAATTGAAAAACTTGATTAATTTTGTCATTAGCGGTATTAATAGTAACACAGTAGCATGCACATTCTTCTTCTTTTCAACGTTAGCCAGCATCTATCAGTGCCAAATGAAAACCACAGTGACAAGCTAGTGGATATGTATGCAATTCATCTGCTGCGTAGAGCTATACTTTCTAATACTGTAGCTGCTTAGCCCATGCCACTTTTTCAATTAATTAAAATTAAATAAAGTTACAAATTCAGTTGGACTAGCCACATTTCAAGTTCTCCATGGCAATGTGCTGCAAGTAGCTACAGCATTGGGCAGTGCAAAACTGCACCATCATTGGAGAAAGTTTTACTGGGCACCTCTTGTGTACAGCCTTATAAAACTGCTTTTTACTCCCTACATCTATCTGGATTTTTATCTCTCAAGGATTTCAGCTGCAAGTGAGTTCATTTGAGACCTTTATAACTGAGATGGCCAGTAATGAAATCATGATATTAATACAGTGCTGTCTTGTGGTTCATACCACAGTTTGAGTAATATGTATTTGCATAATGACTTCTTTTTTCATGTTTGCTTAATAGAATCTTCTTCTTTCTGTACCTTACAAAAATTACAAGAAACGTTTTTTCTTGTATATTATATGTAAAAATAAAAATGGAAAATCTGTATTAATTATTGATTTTAGGGAATATTTACGAATTTCATATACTTATTTCACATAGGATGCTAGGATGTTTCAGAAGACTATTAATATTACAAGAACATGTTCAATGCCCCTGATTGGTAATTCATACCATTGTCATTTTTATTAATCATTTTCCTTCATTTATGATATCTCTGATTCAGTTATTATAAAAATGGTTTATTCAACTTCTTTTTATTTAGCACGGGCGATTATGCAGTGGAGACCACATTCTAAAGATTGGTGACACAGATCTAGCAGGAATGAGCAGTGAGCAAGTAGCACAGGTCCTTAGGCAATGTGGAAATAGAGTTAAACTGATGATTGCAAGAGGCGCCATAGAAGAACATGCAGCACCCAACTCTTTGGGCATTACCTGCTCCTCATCCCCATCTTCCACACCAGAGATGCGGGTAAGTAGATAAAATAGTTTATGTGAAAATCAGAGAAAATAGCACTTAGATGACAGTGATATTCATGTAGAAACTAGACTTATTAATGTTGACATCTTGGTTCCAAATAATGGAATGAAATTCAAATGTAGGGACTTCAAGACTACTAACATTTTATTAATCAAGAATAACATATAAAACATAAAAAATAGGTTGCCTAAAAATGCTAATTATTATTTTACAGTTTTCTCTAAGCAGAGCATTTATGAGGATAATGTTTTGAAGTATCGATAATATTTTAAATAATAGTTTTAAGTATTTAATTCTATCTTTCCCTTAATTGGAAGGGCTTCTGTAAGATGGGTCGTGGTTCTAATCATTTTTTGTCAACAGTTTTCTTTTTTGTGTGTTTGTTTCATTTATTTGGAGGTTGAAGAGTAGAGTGAGCTTGATGGGAATGAATAAGGGTTACTAAAACTTTTCATTATTATTGTCTTAAGATCTGTCTTAGAACTATGTTATAATGAGTAGCATTATTCTTGATCCAGTTATATGACTTTTTTTAAACAAAAGTTTGGCTTTTGGTGTTATAACAAAAGCTTTATTCATAGTCATAGCATTACATCTTTGTCCTTAACTTGATATGAAAGAAGTTGGGAAAGTACAAATTATTGGAAAGTAGTGGTTCACCAGACATCCGTGGATAAAATAACAACATGGTTTTATCGAGAATTCTCTTAAACATTTAAGAAGATAATTAGGCCCAATGTCTAGAAAAACTTTATGGCAAATGCTAGTCCTGTATTCCTTTCCTGTAGATATAAAAACATTCAAGAATTATTCTATCAAAGTTTTTTAAGTACTTGCTACAAATTCTTTTTTAATGTCCTAACCTCCTCCACAAGCCCTTTAAAACTTTATTAGAACACTTGAAATTTCCATGATTCTGTTGTTTTTTAGGATTGAATTTGGTTGCTATTTTTTGCAAAGAGAAAAAAGAAAGCGTGTTTATGAAACTGTTTAAATGGCATTCTTTTGTGGTAAACAAAACATTGTATTCAGCGATATATAAATGAATGCAATACCGAAAACCACTTGATATAATTGAAAGCTTAGAAAAATATCTATTCTGTGCATATCATCATTTCTGAAGCTTGTGCCCCTTTTAAAACCATTCGATAGTCAAATTGCCACCCTCTAAAATAGCACTTGCATAAGTCTTAGTAAAAATAGAAAACACATTTGTTTCAATTGAAGCAGATTTCATCCTGTCATTTTCTTGTAATTATCTAAACTTTTGCTAAGTTTGCACAGATAATTATGTGCAATGAAAAAAATAAAACTTTACTGTAAAATTATATCTTATTTAGGTGGACTATCAGTGAGATACAGCCAGAGTCTGTTTAAAGCAAATTAAAAAATATAATCAGCCGATCCCAACCTAGATGTCCATTAGAACCTGTAACCTTGATGTTGTTGTGCCTTTCTTAGAGTTCTTTGTAGAATCTGCTGATACCACGTCAATACATAGTACTAACAGCTTATTGATGACATATAGTATCAGTCCACGAAAGCTTAATTTTAGGGAGCTTTGCTCTTCAGTCCAGCAAGCAATTAATAACAATTCTCCATGTTAGAGAAAGCTGACATCTGAGAAACCCAGTTTCATCTATCATTCCAAGAGTACAGCATGCCAGCGCAGAAAGGCATACTTTCCTTACAAATGGCTTGTCATGGTAAAGGCTGAATTTACAAAAAAAAAAAAAAAAAAAAGGACAATTTAAAATACTTCATTAATGCATTTCACTGGTTTTTAAAATAGAACATCCTCCTATGACTAAACTATCTGCAGGAAAGATTAAGTCACACTAATGGCATTAAAATTGATTATAAATTTAAGACAATAATAGAAACTAGAACGTAGGCATCATGGCCCCGTACTCTCTTTGGGACTTTAAACACTAGTCATTTAGGAGCAAAGGGTCTGCAACCCAAACTATCTGGATCTGAATTTTACCTCTACTAGATTGCTAGCTCTTTGTTCTTGGATAAGTTTATGTTCCTCAGGGAGATATAATAATTATACCCACGTCATGGGTTTGTTATAAGGAATAATGAATTAAGACATGTCAAGTGTGTGTTACATAAGAAACTGCTCAGTAAGTGGTAGCTGGACCTGTGGTTGTTCCTCTTTTCTTTGTAGACGGTTGAGCAGAGTGATGCTGTCTTTCTACATTTAAAGTTGAATTTGTTTTATTTATTTATTTTTGTTGTTGTTGTAGTTTTGGCTGGGGCCAGGTTTCAACCTGCCACCCTTGGTATATGGGGCCAGCACCCTACTCACCGAGCCACAGGCACTGCCCTAAAGTTGAATTTGTTGATGTGAATTCAATACTTGAGTTTTTTCAACTGTCCTGCATCCTGAGTTCTTCAGAAATGAAGATGATCCATTTCTGAAAATAGAGTTTGTTAATAAGGAATTATTTTATTTTTAAAAGTTAGTATATATGAACAGTAAATATCTCTGGGATAAAGGGCTGATTCTTCTTTATCCTGATATTCTTTTCTAACCAAATTGTGATGCTCAGTCCGTGTCATCATGACTAATGGAGCAGTCTTCACTGTTACTCTCTAGTAGGTTCTCTGACACTTTATTATGTCATATTATTCCTAAATGAAAACTGTGGTTTATTGAACTTACCTTGATTTTTTAACATTTTTATTTCTTTGTATATTTATCCATTTTATTTTAGGTTGACGCTTCTACTCAGAAAAGTGAAGAAAGTGAGACATTTGATGTAGAACTCACTAAAAATGTCCAAGGATTAGGAATTACCATTGCTGGTTATATTGGAGATAAAAAATTAGGTAATTTAAAGCACTGAAATGTTTAAAACGTGGTAATTATCTCTAATATTTAATGTATTACAAAATAGCAAATCAACATTACGTGTTTTCAGATTGCTAGGTAAACTTATTTAAAACTTCTTTAGGTATAATTTGATGTAGGTGGGTGTCCGTGATATTGTGTTTAAGACAGGAAAAACAAAATAATTGCCTTATTCTCTAGCCTAAGTTTCTACTAGAGGTTTTGTTTGTGTCATTAGCTTAGATATAATTTACTCAAAATTAGGGTTTTGTAGTTGGAGAATGGAGAGTGGATAGTATTTGTAAATAGTGAAAACTAACCTATTTCTAATCTTAGAACCTTCCGGAATCTTTGTAAAGAGCATTACAAAGAGCAGTGCTGTTGAACATGATGGAAGAATTCAAATTGGTGATCAAATTATAGCAGTAAGTTACACATTTTTATAATTCCTTTTTAATTTTCATGGTTGAACATCGCATCTCCTTGTTTACTTGATTTTGAGAACTACAGTTAGTTCTGTATTAATTTAAGCTTGCTTTGGTGACTTGAGACTCTCATTACAATTGCTCTTTCTTTTTGGTGGAAATAAAATAAGAGTATTGGATAGAAGCTTTGCTGATCTCAATCCAAAAAGGGAAGACTTCTTGCTTGAATAATTTCTGATATTTCCAATTACTGGTTGTAATAAATTTGTTACATTACTATTATACTTTCATTTTACTTAGAGACACTCTGAAGTAAAGACCAGATTTACCTTTAGTGTATCTGAATTTGGATGTGTTTTTTTTTTTTTTAATTGGAAGAATGATATTATTATCATTGTTGTCTCCATGACCAAGGCTTCTTTCAGCCCTAAGAAGGTGTAAGAATGAAAGAGAGAAATCTAGCCCCTCTTAATTAGGTCAAGACCACATTGTTATTGTAGTAATAACATGTGTATGTTTTAAACATATGGCTATTCAAAGCTGAGTGTGAAAGACTTCACCTTTCAGTTCAGTGTTTAGTGGATATTGGGCTCCCCAAACTTTTCCCTGGAGCACAAATTTAAGAAGCTCTGCCTGTACCAAATGCTTCCTGGTCAAATAAGGTTAGAAAAAAAAACTGCTTACAATATGATCTCTTAGGGATTCATAGTACACGCTGAAAAATTAGAAGACCAAGGAGTCCCATAGTAGAAAAAATTGTGTAACTTTTTAATCTTAGTATTTCTTAAACTTTTTTGAGATCTCTTTTTTCCCAAACATACATTAATATTAGTTGGAAGACATCTTGGGGAAGAAATACGAATTAATCTTAATAGCTATTTATTTCTGCCTAGTTTAGTCTCTTGTTGTGCTGAGATCTTAATAATAGTAAAAAAAAGTAGGAGTGTAAAATAGAGGACTTGTTGTTATCTGTATATTATTATGCACAATGGCCAAACCTGGAAGCAACCCAAACGTCTATGAAGGGATAAACAAACCGTGACATGTGCATACTATGGAATGTTACTCAGTTTTTAGAAAGGAGGAAATCCTATCACATGTTATAACATGGATGGACCTTGGGGACGTTATGCTAAGTGAAATAAACTAGTCACAAAA